AAAAAAAAAAAACCACCCCAGCATAAACTGGTGCTTCGGCAGCGGAGCGAGAATGAGGAATGGAGCCCAAGGAGCGGGCTGGGATGCCCGCGCTGGCCCCCGCTCCATCCTCGCGCGTATTCCCACGGCTGCCGCTGCTCCCGGCGCCGCGCACGCGGCGCTTCTCCTGCCCGCCACAAGCGCTTCCTATGCAACTTTACATAATATTTGGATGAGTTTCATCCAAACCTTTACTTGAGCTTAGAGAAACCCTTTCTTTTTTTCTTTCTTTCTTTCTTTTTTTCCCCCCTCCCCTTGAGTAAAAAATTCAAAGCATCCATCCTCTTCCCTGCTTCAAGCACCCGAGCACCACCTGCTCCTTCTCTCGGGCGGCCGGGCAGGGGCAGAGATGCCCATCCGGCCGGTTCCCACGCTTCGGCCGGAGTCCAGGGATGGACAGCGGCACTCGGGAGGGAGCGATGCCGCAGCCGGGACCTGACCCGGCCCCACCGCCCTCCCGGCTCCGGCTGCGCCCGTTCCCGCAGCTTCCCTCGGTTTGGTTTCCCGGGGCGAGGCGGCAGGGAGCCGCGCCCGGCGGCGGTACCTGTAGAAGTAGTGCCAGCAGAAGAGGCAGCACAGGAGGCGGCAGCCGAGCGGCTCGAGGCGGGGCGGGCTGCGCAGCGCCAGCAACAGCGCGGGCACCAGGAATGAGGGCAGCTCCTGCAGGAACCAGGCGCAGCGCGCCGGCAGCCGGCCCCGCGGCCGGCACAGCCGCTCCTCGTGCTTCCCGTAGCGGGACGGCACCCGCAGGTGCAGCGACAGCTGCAGCAGCGCCAGGGCGCCCAGCAGCGAGCTCAGCGCCAGCACCAGCCCGGGGAAGCACTGCATGCTCGGGGGCGGGCGGGGGCAAACAGCCCTCGGCCAGCGCCAGCCCCGGCCTTATTAGAGCCGCGGCCGTCACCCCGCCCCGCCGCGCTGCCTCCCAGCGCCCGGGCTCGTCACAGGGTGCAGCCCCTCGTGCTGGAGCGGGCGAGGCGTCCCGACCCGCCCGGAGGGGAGCTGTACCCCTCCATCCCTCAATCTCTCCATCCCGACCCGCCAAAGGGGAGCTGTACCCCTCCATCCCTCAATCTCTCCATCCCGACCCGCCAAAGGGGAGCTGTACCCCTCCATCCCTCAATCCCTCCATCCCGACCCGCCAAAGGGGAGCTGTACCCCTCCATCCCTCAATCCCTCCATCCCGGCCCCGCCATGAGAGCTGTCCCCCTCTCCACCCCTCCCTCCCGTCCCGTCTAAAGGGGAGCTGTCCCTCTCCATCCCTCTTTGCTTCCCCGCCATCCGTCCTGCCCGGAGGGGAGCAGTCCCCTGTCCCTCCTTCCCTCTCCCTCTCGCCCTCGCCCTCCAGTCCCCCACTGTCGGGGTCCGGTCCGGTCCGTCCCGGCGTGAGGGCGGCGGTGGCGGGCGAAGGGAGACAGGGAGGGAAGGAGGGAGGGAGAGCCGGGGGCGGCCCGGAGCGGGGGCGAGGCGGAGGCGCGGCCCGGAGGTGAGCGGGGGTGACCCTCGCAGGAGGCGATCGCTGCCGGCGAGCGGGGAGCGGGCGGCGGAGTTCCCTTCCGCTGCCCCGGTGTGTCACCGTGCCCCGCGGCTTGCCCGGCCATCTGTGCTGCCAGGGCTGAGCCGTGCCAGGCAGTGCCGCTCCGCTGCGGGCAGGCGGAGAGCAAAGGCACAGAGATGCCAAAGGTCGGATGAAAATGAGCAAGTGTAGATGCTCGCGGTAGGATGAGGAAAACACGGTCCAAGTCCTACGAGTCGGACAAGTCAGGTCATGTTTGGCATAACCCGAACATGCGGAAACTTTTTAAGCGCCCCAAGTTTCAATGAAGGTGGTCCTAATGTACGTGCTCGATTTGGGATGTGCTCAGGAACCCTTCAGTCTGAACCACATGAAGTAGTTTTAAGAAGTTTGCCTAAAACTATAGTCCTTTTCTTTGTCTGTTTCCTCAGGGATCTGCATTTGGTAAGGATTAGCAAGATGCTGAATTACAGCAGGAGGGCTAGGAGAATATTAAACTCTGTATTTTTTCTGGCTATTACAGGATATCACCTCAAGGCTATAAATTACTGTGTCATCCATGTCATTTTGCAGCTTCACTGAGAAAACAATTGGATGCAGCTCTGCAAAGGATTGGATGCCACACAAAACTGGTCTTCTGCAGCAGGGGTGGTAATTGATTTTTATTCAAGGTCTGCGTGAATGTACTGATTTAGGATGTGGGAGACTTTGGGGTTCAGTTGCATCTTCTGCTTAAGGAGATTCCCTTTTTGCAGAGGGAGACCAAACAACTGGCTATAGTCTGTCCTGTAGTTCAGGGAAGGCACTTGTTCTGTTGTGCTGCGTATTCTTTGAGGCAGCTACTTAGGGGAGCAGAACTCTTTCAGTCATAGACGATTTCTCCCTTATCCTCATCGAGTGCTGTAGTTGCTAAGGTCATGTTTGTTGCAATGAATAAAGCAGGTCAAGGTTTTTTTGGCCTCCAAGATGGGTGACATGTTGTGGCTGTCAGCCACAAGCCAGAGCACTCTTCCCACACAGAAGATGCCTGTCTGCTTGCAAGCTGCCTGCTGCTCCTGTCTCTGGTACATGCTGTGTCCCAGCTGTGCATAAAAGAGGGCAGGACCAGAGCCGTGCCAGCTACACCAGCCATAAAGCAGTACGGACGATCACAGGCTAGCAGCAGGGTACCTGTACCCAAGCAATAGTTCCTGACTGTGAACCATCAGCGGAGGAAGGTGCCTCTAGGACAGATTTTACAAACCTGCCTTTGTATCTTAATCCCCAAGAAGTGGAATCCAAAACAAATCGTTGTGTAGCAAAACATTTGAATATGAGAATTTGTCAACCATAATATTCAAGTTTCATGGGGAATTACTTCAAACCGCCTCTAGCCTGATCCTGTGAGTTGAAGACACATTAGCAATAGAAGCACGTTAGGGACATTTATGGAGTGCATCTTCTGCCATAGTGCCTTCTGAAGGAGAACCAGTGATGGACTCAGACTTTCACAAAGCATATCAAAGCTCAGTGGTTAGTTGGGGATGACTGCGGGATGACTTCAAAAGAATGCTTTGTATTCAAAGTGAAACCCTAAAAGAGGCTCAGCGTAAGAGCTGGAGAGGGGTGTGATCTCAAACAGCACTGGTGGCTTCAGGCAGTCCCCTGCTCATCATCCTGGTTGGCTGGATTCAAGCTGAAGGGTTCTAGTTGTACTTGTTTGCAGGGGAAGACTAATGAACAGAAATGCTTCCAGTGGTGAAGCAGTGAGCTACTCACATAGGAACCATTTCCAGTCCATGGAGAAAAGGAGGCACTTTTAAGGTGAGATTCATCTCATCCAAAGAGGTAATGAAACAGATCGATGAATCATAATGTAGAAAAGCTTGTTTCTCTCCACTGGCTCTAAAAGATGTCTAGAGAACTGTGTCAGGAGAACTGAATCCCACTCTTGTTCTGTAAATTAAGGTTCAGAAGAAATGCTCCTCTAATTTAAGTACCATCATGGAATTTATGTTCATTGCTGGAAACAAACAATGCATGATTATTCATCATATTCAACCATTGCACAAATTTTATCCTGAGAATTCCTACTTCTTGCCTAAATACTATGTGAGGGATTGTGATGAGAAAGGTGAAAGCAGTGCTGCAAAAACATTCTTTGCATTCATCAGGGGTTTGGAGAAAGTGGCAAAGTCTAGTGTTGAAAAAAAGTGGTCTGACTAGGATCACCAAAAAACTTCCTTTTAAACCAAACTTTATTTTTCCCATGGAAGCATATTTAGAGATTTGTTTCACCAGCCCGAAGGAGTACCAGGTAGTAATAAATCCTGCCCTGAAATTATCTCAGGTCAGTATGATCAAGCTACAAAACACAGACCATTTAATTCAGACTTTTTCCCCTCCAGTAAATTAAAGATATTCTGAACGCTTTTTATGTCTCAACAGTGAATAATTCAGTGGGAGTATTTGTTAAAAAATGTACTTCAACAATAAAGTGTTTGCAGGCCTGCTGAATTTGAAGGGAGAGGAGGAGAATGTACAGGCTAAGCCCTGTTTGCATATCTGATAGGACTTCAGAACTCTTGGCTTGTTTTATCTTTAAAAAGAAAAATCCAACTCTTCCAAAGAATTGAATTGTACAAAATGTACGAGAGGTACAAAATTACATATGTCATAGGTATATATTTATACATGTGAGTCATCTGGAGAAAAACTGTGGGTCATTTATATATCTAGAGGCCTATGGAGGATTTTCAGAAGAAAATTGTAGATTGAAATCAAGGTAATTTTGTACTACGGTGGGTCTCTTTCTCTCAGTTCAGGAGGTAGCCAAGAATCCTTGTGGCCTGCTGTAGAATTCCAGGATGGCTGGGGTGCAGCATCCCCAAGCTCAGCCTGTCACCTCCTGGCACACTTGTGACCCTTTGGACCCCACGGTGTGTCTGTGCTCCTGCAGCTCTGGGTGAGAACAGGGTGCTTCTGTGGGCTGCTTCCTACAGCCCAGAGAAACTCCTTTGGGAGAGAGAGCTCCTGTAAACCAGGACCAGAGCACAGGGAAGCCAGGAGTGGTCTGTGCCTTTTACCAAAAGGACCTGGAGCTTGTGTGGAGGGAGTACCAGCAGGGGTGTCACTCCATGAGTGAGTGGCTGCATGGTTCTTGGTTGCTGGCTGGGGTTAAACCACAACACAGTTGCACAGGTATAATCTTTAGGAAGGGCTCAGGATTAAATTTTGAACGAGAATGCTCAATAGGGTGAACAGCTGCGTGAGGGAGTTCCTCGGATCTCCCTGTGCACTGGTGCAATTTTGAACAAATCTCTTTCCAGTGCTGACATGAATGCAGCTAGACTGAAGCTAGGAAACATTGGGAGCCATCAACTAGCATTTACTGTTTGGTTTGCATCACATATATCTTGTGCTGGATAAGGAGCTCTCCATTTCCTCTTGGTCTATTTGCTATTGAGCTATTCTTATAAAATTTTTAATTCCACAAGAGTACAGATTTAATAATCCAATATAGACATTTCCCTCTCAGTCATAAGTAGTCTTTTACTACTTGCAGGAATTTTCATCCACTGACATTATAAGCTGCATGACTTCACTTTGTGTTGCATGTTAGATGCAGCAGGTGAAAAGAGAAAACTATTTTCATTTTCCTTCAGTCAAAGGTGTCTGTGCATAGGAAGAGGGGGAACCAAACAAGGTGTGGTTAGTGTAACTCTCTTTTTTTAAAGGCCTCTCCTTTGAATTGTGCAAGCTACTGTAAGGAAGCAAATAAAACAGAAGTGGGCATTAACTTCGTTTGTGATATTTAATAAGCAACTGTTACTTCTACTCCTAGCATTGATGAAAGTGTGATAATAGGTTTGGAAGACAGGGCAGATTAGTTCAGTGTGTGTGAAGAAGGAGGAATAAATCTTCTACAGAATTAACTTTAACCTAGTGCAAACAGAGTTTTACAGCAAGTTATTTTTAATAGTGTGTTCACATCATTACTGGAATGAATATAAAAATATAAGGCCCATGACAAACAAAAACCCAGAAAGGAGAGGTGAAGGCTTTGTATTTTAAAGCTTTTAAAGGCTTTCCTTTTACTTCAGATTTTCTTGAACAGTATCTATATAGAAAAGCCATGAGATCAGAATCTGACACCCAGTTCTCTCCTTTAATTAATCTCATTTTATCTGGTGACACTCTTGCCATGATTTATGGTTTTCACATTCTTATCTCTGCACAGTTCTTTCAGTAGAGAGGAACAGTACCTTTACACCCACACTGCCCCACCTATTCCAGTTTGTTAGCACTAAAACCTCCTACCCACTCAATATTACAA